AGCTAACATCATCAATACCAGCTAACATCAGCTAACATCATCAATACCAGCTAACATCAGCTAGCATCATCAATACCAGCTAACATCATCAATACCAGCTAACATCATCAATACCAGCTAACATCATCAATACCAGCTAACATCATCAATACCAGCTAACATCAGCTAACATCATCAATACCAGCTAACATCATCAATACCAACTACCATCATCGATACCAGCTAACATCATCACACGCCTCGTCAAAGAGAAGCAGTTCCAGCCATCGCATTAGGGGCGAGTTAATTAAACGTTTGACCAAATTTAACAGGCTAATTTTTAAGTTGATAATTTTGTATGGCCCGCGATTGATGTAATATATATCCAAATGGCGAGGGGCGGAGCCAGGATTTTAACTTTGGAGGGGCTGACTTCAATATTCTGAGATATCCAGTGTTTATGTTTACCAATGGGCGCCACAAATGTATAAATTTTTTTTATTGGATTTGAACGCGGAGTTTATTAATAGGTCGGAGCCGCTGATGTGGCTAATAAGTTCGATACGTTCGAAAGGCTGCCGCTCAAGCAGCCTGCAGGGCAGCACACAAGGTGGCAGCCTGCAGGGCAGCACACAAGGTGGCAGCCTGCAGGGCAGCACACAAGGTGGCAGCCTGCAGGGCAGCACACAAGGTGGCAGCCTGCAGGGCAGCACGAGGTGGTAGCCTGCAGGGCAGCACACAAGGTGGCAGCACAAGGTGGCGGCCTGCAGGGCAGCACACAAGGTGGCAGCACAAGGTGGCAGCCTGCAGGGCAGCACACAAGGTGGCAGCCTGCAGGGCAGCACACAAGGTGGCAGCCTGCAGGGCAGCACACAAGGTGGCAGCACAAGGTGGCGGCCTGCAGGGCAGCACACAAGGTGGCAGCACAAGGTGGCAGCCTGCAGGGCAGCACACAAGGTGGCAGCACAAGGTGGCAGCCTGCAGGGCAGCAAACAAGGTGGCAGCCTGCAGGGCAGCACGAGGTGACAGCCTGCAGGGCAGCACAAGGTGACAGCCTGCAGGGCAGCACGAGGTGGCAGCCTGCAGGGCAGCAGAAGGTGGCAGCCTGCAGCATTTTGCAGCAGCCGGATATCCGGTTATCCCGATTACCGACTTTCCCAAAATTTCAGGGGAGCCTGAGCGCCCCCCCCCCCCCAGCCCCCCCCCCCCCCACCGTGGCTCCGCCCCTGCAAATGGCCCTTGGCAGAAAAAAAGTTTCCCCACCGCTGGCTTAGGTGGACAGAGGCGAGGCGATCGATCAGATGGCACCGAACATGACGTGGCTCGAGTCGCAAGGTGTTTAAACACTGACATTTACGGCAGCACAGCGCACGAGAAACGGCACAACGATGGATTTGATGACAGGCAGGTCAAAGGGTCAAAGTGATAGTCCACTCGAATGAGCAAAATGAGGCGGCGCTCACATCTCCCGTTTACAGCCTTGATACAGTGACGGAAATTCCACGTTCGTATAGCGACGGCGAGTCCATCCATAAGACAGCAACCGTTGATTGACTTACCCAGAAAGTGTTCGTAATTTTATCGACCCCCGAGGTAGAAGTGGTGGGCTGAGTCAAACCACCCCCCACACAGGGATTTGAGCGAAAACATTCCACGTTCCTATGGCGTGGGTGGGCAAACCCATTTAAAGCAGGATCCCTGTCGACCGCCCCTTTTGCACACAAAGTTGTAAGTTAATGGGTGTGTGTTTTTTTTTAAATCGACACCGGAGGGACAGGATGATGTGGGCTGAGTCGACTTCCCATCCCACCCACCATGCCCCACCCATCCCACGGGGAATTGAGCTCGACACCCGCCCGAAAAGACCCGACAACCCCCCCCCACAAACTGAGTGAGAACCGCCGTGGGCAAAGCCCAAAACGTTGTGATGCGTGGCAGAAGAAGCAGCAGCAGCGAGAGAGCGAGGGCCGAGGGGCTGTGGGTGGGGTGAGTAGCACTAGTGGGGAGAGAGCGAGAGGAGTGGAGGTGGTGGTAGGGAGGGAGGGGGGCTATATGCAAAAGTTAACAATGCCAGAGGCAGCGGATCGGGGCCCTCTGCGTCCCACTGCCAGCCATTGGTTGGATGCACACAGAGAGGCGATTCATTGCGTGGCCCAGACACCGCTGCCTGCTTCATAACTCCTCCCTGTGTGTGGGGGGCGGGACTGGGAGTGGGAGGGAGGGAATGGGAGTGTGGGGGGGGGGGGAATGGGAGTGTGGGGGGGGGGGGAATGGGAGTGTGGGGGGGAGGGACTGGGAGTGTGGGGGGGAGGGAATAGGAGTGTGGGGGGGAGGGAATTGGAGTGTGGGGGGGAGGGAATGGGAGCGTGGGGGGGGGGAATGGGAGCGTGGGGGGGGGGAATGGGAGCGTGGGGGGGAGGGAATGGGAGCGTGGGGGAGGGGGGGAAATGGGTGCGTGGGGGGGAGGGAATGGGAGCGTGGGGGGGGGGGAATGGGAGCGTGGGGGGGAGGGAATGGGAGCGTGGGGGGGGGGGATGGGAGCGTGGGGGGGAGGGAATGGGAGCGTGGGGGGGGGGGATGGGAGCGTGGGGGGGGGAGGGAATGGGAGCGTGGGGGAGGGGGGGGAAATGGGTGCGTGGGGGGGAGGGAATGGGAGCGTGGGGGGGGGGAATGGGTGCGTGGGGGGGAGGGAATGGGAGCGTGGGGGGGGGGATGGGAGCGTGGGGGGGGGAATGGGAGCGTGGGGGGGAGGGAATGGGAGCGTGGGGGGGGGGATGGGAGCGTGGGGGGGGGGGAATGGGAGCGTGGGGGGGGGGGGATGGGAGCGTGGGGGGGAGGGAATGGGAGCGTGGGGGGGGGGGAGCGTGGGCGGGATGGGAGCGTGGGGGGGAGGGAATGGGAGCGTGGGGGGGAGGGAATGGGAGCGTGGGGGGGGGGGGAATGGGAGCGTGGGGGGAGGGGGGGGAGGGAATGGGAGTGTGCGGGGGAGAGATTGGGAGCGTGGGGGGGGGAGGGAATGGGAGCGTGGGGGGGGGGGAATGGGAGCGTGGGGGGGGGGGGAATGGGAGCGTGGGGGGGGGGGGGAATGGGAACGTGGGGGGGGGGGATGAGAGTGGGGGGGGGAGGGGGGGGAATGGGAGCGTGGGGGGGGGGGAGGGAATGGGAGCGTAGGGGGGGGGGAATGGGAGCGTGGGGGAAGAGATTGGGAGTGTGGGGGGGAGGGAATGGGAGCGTAGGGGGGGGGATGAGAGTGGGGGGGGGAGGGGGGGAATGAGAGTGGGGAGGGGGGGGGGAATGGGAGCATGGGGGGGGAGGGAATGGGAGCGTGGGGGGGAAGGGATTGGGAGTGTGGGGGGGAGGGGGGAATGGGTGCGTGGGGGGGGAGGAAATGGGAGCGTGGAGGGGGAGGGATTGGGAGTGGGGGGGGGGGAGGGAATGGGTGCATGGGGGGAGGGAATGGGAGTGTGGGGGAAGGAATGGGTGCGTGGGGGGAGGGAATGGGTGCGTGGGGGGGAGGGAATGGGAGCGTGGGGGGGAGGGAATGGGAGCCGGGGGAGGGAGGGAATGGGAGCGTGGGGGGTAGGGAATGGGTGCGTGGGGGGGGAGGGAATGGGAGTGGGGGGGGGAGCGTGGGGGGGGGGGGAAGGGGAGCGTGGGGGGGGGAGGGAATGGGAGCGTGGGGGGAAGGGAATGGGTGCGTGGGGGGGAGGGAATGGGAGCGTGGGGGGGAGGGAATGGGTGCGTGGGGGGGAGGGAATGGGTGCGTGGGGGGGAGGGAATGGGTGCGTGGGGGGGAGGGAATGGGTGCGTGGGGGGGGGGGGAAGGGATTGGGAGTGTGGGGGGGAGGGGGGAATGGGAGCGTGGGGGGGAGGGAATGGGAGCGTGGGGGGGAGGGATTGGGAGTGTGGGGGGGAGGGGGGAATGGGAGCGTGGGGGGAGGGAATGGGTGCGTGGGGGGGGAGGGAATGGGTGCGTGGGGGGAGGGAATGGGAGTGTGGGGGGAGGGATTGGGAGTGTGGGGGGAAGGAATGGGTGCGTGGGGGGGAGGGAATGGGTGCGTGGGGGGGAAGGAATGGGTGCGTGGGGGGAGGGAATGGGAGTGTGGGGGGGAGGGAATGGGTGCGTGGGGGGAGGGAATGGGTGCGTGGGGGGAGGGAATGGGAGCGTGGGGGAGGGAATGGGAGCGTGGGGGGGGAGGGAATGGGAGCGTGGGGGGGGAGGGAATGGGGGCGTGGGGGGGAGGGAATGGGAGCGTGGGGGGGGGGGAGGGAATGGGAGCGTGGGGGGGAGGGAATGGGAGTGTGGGGGGAGGGAATGGGAGTGGGGGGGAATGGGAGCGGGGGGAGGGAATGGGTGCGTGGGGGAGAGGGAATGGGTGCGTGGGGGGGAGGGAATGGAAGTGTGGGGGGGAGGGAATGGGTGCGTGGGGGGGGAGGGAATGGGTGCGTGGGGGGAGGGAATGGGTGCATGGGGGGGAGGGAATGGGAGCGTGGGGGGGAGGGAATGGGTGCGTGGGGGGAGGGAATGGGAGTGTGGGGGGGAGGGAATGGGTGCGTGGGGGGAAGGAATGGGTGCGTGGGGGGGAGGGAATGGGTGCGTGGGGGGGAGGGAATGGGAGTGTGGGGGGAAGGAATGGGTGCGTGGGGGGGAGGGAATGGGTGCGTGGGGGGGAAGGAATGGGTGCGTGGGGGGAGGGAATGGGAGGGTGGGGGGGAGGGAATGGGTGCGTGGGGGGAGGGAATGGGTGCGTGGGGGGGAGGGAATGGGAGCGTGGGGGGGAGAGGGAATGGGAGCGTGGGGGGGGAGGGAATGGGAGCGTGGGGGGGAGGGAATGGGGGCGTGGGGGGGAGGGAATGGGAGCGTGGGGGGGAGGGAATGGGGGCGTGGGGGGGAGGGAATGGGAGCGGGGGGAGGGAATGGGAGCGGGGGGAGGGAATGGGAGCGGGGGGAGGGAATGGGAGCGGGGGGAGGGAATGGGAGCGGGGGGAGGGAATGGGAGTGTGGGGGGGGCGGTCCCCACTGCGTCTTGGTGTTGTTGGGGTTCCCATTTCAGTTGGAGCCACGCGCACGTGCGTGTGGTGGCGGTGGTCGTGGTGTTGTTGTTGTTGTTTCTCGTGTCGTGGTGATTCCCAGACTTACCCGAGGACGACAACGAGCTATCGGCGGTGGATGTTTGTAAACCACCCCAGCGGAAAAAAAAGGGATGTCTCGGAGCCACGATGGGGGTTCATCCCCTCTGCCCCTTCGTCGTGATCACCACGAGAGGCGATGCCTGCAGCACGAAGAGATGGAGTGACGGATTTAAAGATTCATCATCGTCGTCGCCGTTGTGATGATGGTGGTGAACGTGCGTGAAGAGTTAACGTCGAAGTTGAGTCGAGAGCCGCCTTCACAATAACCTCCTTCTACATCGCCCGCGCAATCATGGTGAGTTAGTTACAGCAGCCTGTCTTGTAAAACTTTGCTAAGATGATTTGGGGCCACTCCACTGCTGGATGACGTTACGTCGTGCACGGCGAAATTCTTTCGCGCCGTACGCAGCCAACCATCGTCACGTTTGCGGCGGTGAAGGACATACTTCACCACGCCTTGTCAATGCGCGTTGGTGATTGTCTATACGAGAGCATAGACGTGGGTAGCAGCATAGATGTACGGTACAACAGCAGCAGCATAGACGTACAGTACAACAATAGCAGCAGCATAGACGCGGGTAGCATAGAAGTACATGACAACACCAGCAGCAGCATAGACGTACAGTACAACAGCAGCAGCATAGACGTACAGTACAACAACAGCAGCAGCATAGAAGTACATGACAACACCAGCAGCAGCATAGAAGTACAGTACAACAACAGCAGCAGCATAGACGCGGGTAGCATAGAAGTACATTACAACAGCAGCAGCATAGAAGTACATGACAACACCAGCAGCAGCATAGAAGTACATGACAACACCAGCAGCAGCATAGACGTACAGTACAACAACAGCAGCATCAGCAGCAACACGTGTGTATGGTGTATGTTGTTGCTACGCTGCTTTAAGCAGCCTGTAACACTTTGTGTTGTGGCTTGGTTGATGGCCCATCCAGGCACTGGGCAGGCTTAACCCCCTGCTTAGCTTTTCCAGTGCCGCGATCATATTAAGTGCCGATTTTTTTTAAAAGGCAACTTTGGGTTCATTTAAAACCGCTTTAACTTGCTCTAAACATTTACGGTCCTCTTATTTAATCTACTGCTGGATGGAGGGGGCGGCGACGGCGGTGGGGGGGAGGGGGGGCGAGTTATTTTATCCATACTTCACCATTCTGGTCGCACTGTATGTACAGTGAAAGTAGTGCGCTCATAACGGGTTTTTGTTGTTATCGTGATGATTTCGATGTTAAAGTTGACCCAAAGAATTTAAAAAAAACAACTCCCCGAACTAAAAGTAGCAAAGCAACAACAACAACAAAAAGCAGCATCTCGCGATAAAAGTAACTTTTTAAAACTTTTAGTTATTGTTGTTTAAATTTGCGAGAAAGTTGTTCAAAAGTTAGTTACGTAACGGGTGGGTTGGAGTTTGCGGCGGCGTCGCGGGGCCTATGAGGAGGAGGAGGGGGTCCAGGATTTATCCACCGATTATAATAAGACTTAACACTTTGACAAATTAAATAGACGTAAGTTCGTTGCCGTCACATATTTTGTTAACTCAGAATGTGTCCGTGTTGTGGTTGCAGTGCCTAAACCCCTGTCACAGACCCAATGCAGAGCCCCTGATTCGTCACCCCGTGCCCATTATAAATCTCAGCGTTCATCCTACAAAGTTCCAACACTCACCACTGGTACACTCACCAGTGGTACACTCACCACTGGTACACTCACCAGTAGTACACTCACCAGTAGTACACTCACCACTGGTACACTCACCACTAGCACACTCACCACTAGCACACTCACCACTACTACTACACTCACCACTACTACTACACTCACCACTACTACTACACTCACCACTACTACTACACTCGCCACTACTGGTGCACTCACCACTACTGGTGCACTCACCACTACTGGTGCACTCACCACTACTACTACACTCACCACTGGTACATTCACCACTAGTACACTCACCACTACACTCACCACTAGTACACTCACCACTAGCACACCCACCATTAACACACTCACCACTAGTACACTCATCACTAGCACACTCACCACTAGCACACTCGCCACTAGTACACTCACCACTACACTCGCCACTAGTACACTCACCACTACACTCACCACTAGTACACTCACCACTAGCACACTCACCACCACTACACTCACCACTAGCACACTCACCACTAGCACACTCACCACTAGTACACTCACCACTACACTCATCACTAGTACACTCACCACTAGCACACTCACCACTAGCGCACTCACCACTGGCACACTCACCACTAGTACACTCACCACTAACACACTCACCACTAGTACACTCATCACTAACACACTCACCACTAGTACACTCACCACTAGCACACTCATCACTAGTACATTCACCACTAGTACACTCACCACTAGTACACTCACCACTAGTACACTCACCACTACACTCACCACTAGCACACTCACCACTAGCACACTCATCACTACTACACTCACCACCACGACACTCACCACCACGACACTCACCACTAGTACACTCACCACAAGTACACTCACCACCACGACACTCACCACTAGCACACTCACCACTAGCACACTCACCACTAGCACACTCACCACTGGTACACTCACCACCACGACACTCACCACTGGCACACTCACCACTAGCACACTCACCACTAGTACACTCACCACTGGCACACTCATCACTGGCACACTCACCACTAGCACACTCACCACTACACTCACCACTAGTACACTCACCACTGGCACACTCACCACTGGCACACTCACCACGAGCACACTCATCACTAGTACACTCACCACTAGTACACTCACCACTACTAGTACACTCACCACTAGTACACTCACCACTAGCACACTCATCACTACACTCACCACCAGCACACTCATCACTAGTACACTCATCACTACACTCACCACCAGCACACTCATCACTAGTACACTCATCACTACACTCACCACTAGTACACTCGTCACTAGCACACTCACCACTTCACTTACCACTAGTACACTCACCACTAGTACACTCACCACTAGCACACTCACCACTAGTACACTCATCACTACACTCACCACTAGTACACTCACCACTAGTACACTCACCACTAGCACACCCACCACTAAACTCACCACTAGTACACTCACCACGACACCACTACACTCACCACTAGTACACTCATCACTAGTAGACTCACCACTAGCTCACTCATCACTATACTCACCACTAGCACACTCATCACTAGTACACTCACCACTAGTACATTCATCACTAGTACACTCACCACTATACTCACCACTATATTCACCACTAGTACACTCACCACTAGTTCATTCATCACTAGTACACTCACCACTAGTACATTCACCACGAGTACACTCACCACTAGTACACTCACCACTAGAACACTCACCACTAGCACACTCACCACTAGTACACTCACCACTAGTACACTCACCACTAGTACACTCACCACCAGTACACTCATCACTACACTGACCACTAGCACACTCATCACTAGTACACTCACCACCAGTACACTCATCACTACACTCACCACTAGTACACTCATCACTAGCACACTCACCACTACACTCATCACTAGCACACTCACCACTACACTCACAACTAGTACACTCACCAATACACTCACCAATACACTCACCACTAGTACACTCATCACTACACTCACCACTAGTACACTCACCACTAGTACACTCGCCACTAGCACACTCACCACTAGTACACTCACAAATAGTACACTCATCACTACACTCACCACTTGCACACTCACCACTAGTACACTCACCACTACTCCACTCACCACTACACTCACAACTAGTACACTCACCACTAGTGCACTCAACACTAGTACACTCACCACTACACTCACCACGAGTACACTCACCACTAGTACACTCACCACTACACTCACCACTAGTACACTCACCACTAGTACACTCACCACTACTACACTCACCACTAGTACACTCACCACTAGTACACTCACCACTACACTCACCACTAGTACACTCATCACTAGTACACTCATCACTACACTCACCACTAGTACACTCACCACTAGTACACTCATCACTACACTCATCACTAGTACTCACCACTAGTACTCACCACTAGTACACTCACCACTACACTCACCACTAGTTCACTCACCACTAGCACACTCACCACTAGCACACTCACCACTAGCTCACTCACCACTGGTACACTCACCACTAGTACACTCACCACTACACTCACCACTAGTACACTCATCACTAGTACATTCACCACTACACTCACCACTACAAAGCTGTCAACCCCTTATCAGTGCCCTACCTCATTACAGACCAATTCAGACCTTAGTGCTCACCACTTGTCCCTTTATAAATCTCAACGTTCATCCCACACCAAGTCCCATCATCACAAGGGAGACACACAAATAGACACAAACTTGTGGGGTTTTATTTTGTCCGCATTGAATCGGCTGTTACGCCGCCCTATGAACCTTAAAACACAATTTTGTCCGTACAAGAATGCGGGGTAAACCGTATGGGTTGTTGACACGGTATTTAAGTAACAACTCAATTGAATTTTTTTTAAATCACAAAAGCGGCTTATAATCCGGTGTCTTGGGGGCGGGGTGGAGGGGCTTCAGGTGTTGGGTGCGTCTTATACTCGGGTATGGGAGCTATCGTGTGTGGGGGGGGGGTAAATGAGATCCGTGTAACTTTGTTAATCTTCTCGCGAGGTCACTGCATGTGAGGCCACACGTTTTTTGTGTAGCCTCATTGAGAGCGCTCCTATTAATTATAATTTTTTTAAATCTTCGTGCGGGATTAGATTTGACAGACCCATATTGCGAGTGCGTCTTATACTCCGGTATCGTCGTTAACGTGTGAGGGGAGAGACCAAATTTGATAATTTTTATAATAGGGTTTTGGGGCCGTCCATAAATGACGTCACGCGATTTTGGACGATTTTTGACCCCCCCCCCCCTCGTCACACGGCGTCACAAAACGTCAGACCCCCCCTCAAATATGACGTCACAAAGCTCTGCCCCCCCCAAAAAAAATATAAAACATGCTTCAAATCGCTTTAAACTATTGTGATTGTAGTGCGTATTTAATGTGGCGCTGCACTCTGATGTAGGAGAAAACATTTATTAAAAAGTCTATTTAATTAAGTAGAACGTGTTATGGGTTCTTTCGGTAAAGTCACGTAGAAGGGAAACAATAAAATTGTTTTTATATTTTTTATTATTTTAT